CGCGCCCATCCTCACCACTGCACACACCATGGGGATTTATTAAACACTTGATGAATGAGATGAAACGTTCCGCGGATGGGGGGTGAGTGTCGTCTGCTAGGAAGGAGTGCACGGGAGGCTCTACGAGGCCGGTATTGCGGGAAAGGCAAGGGCCCAAGACGCAGCACTAGTGATAGCATGGAGGTGGGTAACCAGGCAGGTGAAGAGAGACTAAATGAGCACCAGCCCCATATAAAGTCTGCTTACTGACTGTCCCTAGCCGTTCAGGCCGGAGGCGTGACTGGAAACAAACGAGTGAGGTTTCTTTGAATAAAAGTGGTGGAGGAGGGAGTTCAGTGGGGACCTCAGATATAAGATAAAAGTGTCCTAGGTAAAGATAAAAATGGTTAGGAGTAGTGACAAATTAGAGGTTACAGGTAAGTGCATGATGAATATGTGTACACAGTCGAGTTCTGCAACAATTAAGCGCTAGCTCTTGCAGCGTACGGGGGGAGAGCAGAGAGGCTGCTTGGGAGATGGCGATCGATGCTGCAAACCTTCCTTTATGAAAAGCGACACGGGGTCTACGGGCAGTTTGTAAATTTCATTTTGATTCTGCAAGAAGTAGCGGCCCCCTGAACAAATCGTGTAGAAATTGTTCAGCGGGCACCTAATTTGCTGTGTAAACTTTCACCGAAAACACAATGAAACATTTTAATTAAAAAAAGAGGTAGCAGCCTCCCTCAGCCATCTTGAGCAAAAAAGCAAGTGTTGTTACCGCAATAACGCGGATTGGAGCCGCCTGCTGCACTAGGCGATTCTGAGACGGGGTGAGGTGAGCAGCAGGATGTTTATTATATATCTATATATAGGAGACAGAAGGGAATAGATTCCTCCAAAAAACCCGTCTCCCCCGCTGGAGATCGGCTGAAGGCTTTTATAGGGACAGGGCTTGAGGTGGTAATGTCTTAGATGAGTTAACCTTCTACTCGTATTCTTAGAGGTTATCTGGTAACATCCTTGGGGATTATCTGGTGACATCCTGCTTTTTCTTGTCACAAGATGGGTGCTTTCTTTGGTTTTTCATTCTTGGATCATTACTTGTTGTCCACCCTCCAGGGAGGAACATCTTAAACCTTTTGTAGAGACTGGAGCCGGAGGGACAAATCCTGAGACGATGTGGCGGATAGCGATGGGGAGGAGATGATAGTGAGCTGGGCCTGTGCAGCCTCTTCCCGTGCCATAGCAGGAAGTCACAGGAAGCTGGCCCCCTGCCGTTCACCCCTGCTCAGGTGCTCCTGGCCTGGCTCTGAGGGCAGGTTGTTCATACTGAGGTCTAGGGCTGGGAGCACAGACCTATGCTTGTTGAGGCGTCCTCATGCTCAGCCTCTGGAAAGCCCCAGCCCTGTTACCCAGCTCAGCACACAGCCAGGGAACACCACAAACCCAGGGGGTTTTAAGTACCACAATTTGTCAGAGCTCCAATTGTTCCTCAGCCACCCATACCCAAAGGAAAGTTTCACTTTTAATGTGAACCTGACAAGCACATAACTTAGAATCAAATGCTATGGTGGGTGTGTCTCTTTCAGCCTTTATTTGTTCTCCTTTATTCATATGGAAATTCAGAGGTGCTTAGACTAGGGAGGAAACCCTGGTGGCGCAGTGGTTAAGGTCGGCAGTTCAAATCCACCAGGCGCTCCTTGAAAACTCTATGGGGCAGTTCTACTCTGTCCTATAGGGTCGCTGTGAGTCAGAATCGACTCGTGGCAACGGGTGTGCGTGTGCGTGTGCGTGTGTGTGTGTGTGTGTAGGCTAAGGAAAGAAATAAAAGACAGCCTCACATCAATAGTCTGAGAAGCTTGTCACTCTATTTCTCTAACTGGGAATCCGGTTCCCCTTCCAGCTGAGCGCCCCCCTCCCTCCTGAGGCCCTGAGCACACTGTGGTTCTCAGGTGACAGTGTGAAACCTACATGCTGACATGGAGTCTGTGTTTGTGTCCTGGTCCTGGGGTTCTAGCGTAGCTGAAGGATTATGCTTTACTGTGACAATTATGACAGCAAAAGATTAACAGCCGTTAATACAAAGGGCTTATACGGATTGATGAGCAAGCGGGAAAACTCAAAATGATCAAAGAGCACAGGATGGTCAACAAACACTTGAAATATGTTAAACTTTATTATTTAAAAAAAAAAAAACAACCCAGTAACGATATATCATTTATTACTACCAAAGATGAAGACTTAAGAATAGTCAATACTGGGGAGGATGAGGATGAGATAAGCATTCTCTTAACCTGCTGGTGGAAGGATGAATTCACAAACCTATTCCCCATTTATGTGATTATAAAATGTTACAGAATATACAAAAACGATAAACTATGATATGCAGCCATTAAAAATATTGTTCAGAAAACATTTCTAGTGACATGGGGAAATGCTGATGCTGTACTGATGTTTACAAAGTAGAATACAAACATATACTTCTGTGATCTCAACTACATAAGACATCATTATACCGTGAAACCTGCGAGAGCCGAACTCAGTGGGACTGCCCTGTTTTTCTGGGTCTTGCAAGTTTTCCGCCTTTGACAGAGTGAGGTCTTACCACTTCTATGGCTATTAGTGGAAAATATTTGCATTTTCCTGCTGACAGGGGTCCGCCTTACGCAGGTTCCAGCTTTTGGAGGTTGTACTGTAGAAGGGAACATGCTGCTGAGAGCGGTCATTTCCCCACCTGAAGCTGCACTCCCACGCATTTTTCTAGTTTTCCACAATCAGCGTGTCTCACTTTATTATAAACAGGAAAGAGTCCATCTAAAAATGGCCACAGTGATCAGCAGTCTCCCTTCGTGCCCTCTGAAGGAAACCCAGGCTTATGGAAGGGCATTAGAAAGCCCACTGTGGTGAGAACGTGATTACTAGGAGGGTTATAAACCAAAACGAGGCCAGGCTCTCAAGCAGCAGACAAGAAGGGGGCAGTGGTGACACAGGGCTTCCAGCCAAATGCCCCCATACTCACGCTGTGAACAAAAACCAAACCAAACCTACTGCCGTCAAGTTGATTCCAACTCATTGTGACCCTACAGGACAGAGCAGAACTGCCCCATAGGGTTTCCGAAGAGCGGATGGTGGATTCGAACTGCCAACCTTTTGGTTGGCAGCCAAGATCTTAACCACTGCACCACCAGGGGTCCTCACATTGTGAAGCCCTTAGAAAGAGAGGACACACCTCCACTGTCTGAGGACACGGGCTCCTGTCGTCTTTCCATCTGTCAGTGGAAGCACGCAGGAAACATCCCATGTTGAGTGCTGAGTGCTGGGGGCATTGTTTCACTGAGACAGACAACACGGCCCTGCTCTCAGGAAGCTCAGCTGGCTTAAGGAGAAATAAAAGATAGGACGTGGCATTTTCACTCACTGAAAAACGTACTGAGCCCTACTGTGTGCCAGGTACCATGCTGGGGATAAACGGATCCTCAGAGGGCCAACAGCCTCGGTGCTCATGGCTAACCCACAGTGTGGGCTGAAGAGCTGGCAGGATTAGAGGCCGAGAAGAAGGGAAGGGCACGGGGAGTTGGGAGTGGCTGGTGAGAGTGGGCAGGTGGGTCTGGATCGTAGAGCCAGAGTGGAGGCCAAGGAGCTGGGCGTGACGGACATGCGGGTTCAGCTGCCGTCCGGTGGGAAGGTGAAGGGCCTCAGGCGCTAGGCCAGAGACTGAGTTCTCAATGTGTACGGTGACCAGGGGAAAACAGGAAAGCCAGCACCCACTTCCTCCACGTGACCGGTCACAGGCGTCTTGGCTCCACTTTCATTTTGTTTCAGTCTCCATTTAAACCCTCCAAGAGGTGAGTCGAGAAAATGAGGAAGTCAAACACGAAGGCGCCGGGTGGTGCGGTGTGAGGTGGTACAATCTCCTCTGAGGAGCCGAGTTTAATTTTTGAATTGAGCTCTGTTTTCAAGTAAAAAATGTTTCATAACAGTGATTGTTTTTGGACGCAAGTGTAACAGGTTTAACTGGGAGAAACAAGAGGGCACGTGTGTAGAGTCAGGCCCAGCCTCGCTGGTTCCTGGATAGTGGAGGCCAGTCACGGCCTTCCGTCCTGTGAGCAGGTGGTGTACACGGGGCTCCAGGCCTGGGATTTCGCTCCACACCATATAACACAGAGAGCGGACTTGTTAAACATGCAGAACAATACAAAGTATGTTCCCATAGGGAATTCTTCTATGTGGCTGCAGTATTTAAAACTTCCTTTCATACCAATCTAACAAAAAAACCAAACCCATTGCCATCGAGTCGATTCTGACTCATAGTGACCCTATAGGACACAGGAGAACTGCCCCATAGAGTTTCCGAGGAGCACCTCATGGATTCAAACTGCCGACCTTTTGGTTAGCAGCCGTACCCCTTAACCACTACGCCACCAGGGTCTCCATATGGACTAAAGACACCTTTTTTCTCCTGATAATTCTTGCTGCAGCAAGCATGGTTGCCCCCAACAAAGTGCTCCCACAAGGCAGCGCCTGGACCAAATGTCCCCTACAATAACAAAAGTTTCCGATTGTCTGTTGTATTTAACCTGCAGCAGAGGCTGGCGAAGGGGCACTTCAGTTAAGACACGGCAGGCATTCCAAGCCTCTGGGAGAAGTCTCTGGGTGGTGCAAATTGTGAACGCACCTGGCTGCTGACCAAAAGGTTAGAGGTTCCAGTCCACCTGGAGATGCCTCAGAAGAAAGGGCTGGCAATCAACTTCAGAAGAAGCAGCCATTGGAAACCCTGTGGAGGACAGTTCTATTCTGACACACATGGGGTTGCCATGAGTCAGAGCTGACTCGACGGCCACTGGTAAGCCTCTGAGAGACTTCTCCTGAACTCAGCCCAAAGGCAGCTGCTGGCTTAGAAAGTGGGTCTCAACACAGCGCATCTCAGATTGCGTGTCCTTCTGCCCCCTGCCTTTATGGGATGCTAGGGAGGGCTGGGAAGGAGAGGGGAAGCTGGACACTCATGGGGTGCCTCCCCTTAGGTGCCCGGAGAGAATGGCCATCCCAAAGCCGTGGTGGAGCGGCCACCTGCTGTTCCTGGGCATCCTGAGCCTCACGGTGTCGGTCATCACCCTGCTCTTCTATGCACTGCTCTGGAAGGCCGGCGACCTCACCGAGCTGCCTGACCTGCGCATCGGCTTCTACAATTTCTGCCTGTGGAACGAGAGCACCGGCCGCCTGCAGTGCCACCAGTTCCCCGAGCTGGAGGCCCTGGGCGTGCCACGGGCCGGCCTGGCCCTGGCCCGGCTGGGCGTCTATGGGGCCCTGGTCCTCACCCTCTTCGTCCCCCTGCCGCTCCTCCTGGCCCAGTGCAAGGGGAACGAGGGGGAGTGGCAGCTGGCCGTGGGCTTCCTGGCAGCTTCCACAGTGCTGCTGGCCGGCGGCTTGGGCCTCTTCCTGTCCTTCGTGTGGAGGTGGCTCCGGCTCACCCTGCTGGGCCCAGGGTTTCTAGCATTGGCCACTGCCCAGGCTTTGCTCACCCTCCTGCTTGTGGCCACAGCTGCATTCCCTCAGGTGGCGAGGAGGGACAAGAGCCAGCCTGAGAGCTGCTAGTCCTCTCTGGAGGCTCACACGACTGTGAGGCTGTGAGGCTGTGAGGCTGTGTTGTCTGAACTACTCTCAGAAGGTGCCAGAGAATTTGAAGGCTGGTCTCTCCTCAGCCATCCTGTTTCACAGTTAATGCTGATCTCAAGCTTTAGCAGACGGGACCCGCTACGGAGGGGGTGGGCACGGGACCTAGCAGGCCAAGAACAGCGAGGGCCAGTGGGCCATGGGGCTTCCTAGTGTGGGCAGTCTGTCCTTCAGGACTTCCAAGGCCCCCTCCCAAAACCACGCAGCTTGTTGCCACACAAATGTCTGCTTTAATTAACCTGAGCAAACCCTTCCGACTATATCCCCGGGAGGGTGAGAGGCAGGGACTCCTGCCGCGGGGCCGCAAGTCCAGTCTGATTCACCAACTGACAAAGTAGAACCCAAACAAGGTTTTTATGGCAACAAATGGAGGGGGGGAAGGGGCATCAGAAGACAGAGCACCTTAGTGTTCCCGGGGACGTGGATCCCAAGCCGCCCCACTCCCCGCTGTGTGCCCCCCACTCCAGCCACTCCGGGAATGGCCCCTGAGGATTCACATGACATGCAGGCCAGGGAGAGCAGCCTGGGTGGCTCTGGACGGCCCCTGAAAATCCCACAGCTGGGGGCAGACGGGACTGGCTGGCTGATCTGTTCTTGGCAGTTGACATGGCAGGGGTCAGAGCAGCCAAACCTCAGGGGAGAGAAGGTGAGGACAGAGCCCCACGCAGACTCCGCGCTGACCCAACTATGTAACAGATGCACTGGGAACCGGACGCACTGTCAGCGCCTGTGCTGGAGACTGGACTTCCAGGGAGGTAGCCCCGTGCTCCCCCCACGCCCGCCCACCAAAGCCACACTGCACCTCGAGGCAGCAGCCTGGCTCCTGCGGCATCTCTGGTCCTTAGCATCACCTCCAGGCTCCTTCCCACTCTCGCTTTGGGCCCCAGGAAGTGTCTGTCCGTCTGTCCTGGGCAGAGACTACCAGTGGAGAAGCCTGTGTGGTTTACTAGTCAGCAACCCACCCCCCGGGCACCTGCAGCCCTGAATGGCAGACTGTGGACAGGGTTCGTCCAGGGGTGCCTGGAGCAGTCAGGGCTCACCGAGTGACTGTTGTCTACCCGTGGCAGAAGCTTCCTCTGCAGGGAGAGGCTGTGCCGACTAAACTGGAAGAGTTTCACCTGCTCAGCAGACATGCTTCTCTTTGAAAATCAACAACTCCTCTTTGGTTCCGATCAGTTTGAGCCCCATGACCTCATCTTGCCTGGTCCCTGATAACTGAATAAAACAGACTAGTGATTCTCAGGGCTGGGAGGGGGCACGGGCAGAGGGAAGAGCCGGGGGCGTCTCCTGGCACCTTACTTCCACCCACTCAAGAAGGCAGCTCCCAAGGCCAAGGCACCAGGGGTTCTGCACTGGGTGGACCTGCCCGCCCAGGGAAGCAGGAAGCAGAGGGCAGAGAGCCATCAGCACTGTCCTTTGGCAGCTCTCAGCAGAAAGTCCTGTAACAGTGTCCCTCAGCTGAAAAATATCTCCCTGACATATTTCAAGGCGTCTTCCTCTTCCTTCTGGCTTTGGCTGTGGGTAGAGTCGGATCCCCCCAACTCCTGGGAAGCGCCAAGGGTGGGGGGAAGGGTGTCTTCCCCATTGTCCTTGTCCTCGCTTCTGCCCCCAGGAGAACACGGTGACCTTGAGCGGGTGGGGGAGAGCTCCAGCTTATCAGCTCCGGCCAGGGCCTTCTGCTCCAAGGGCTTTTCCTGTTTGTGGTCCTGCAGCATCGAAGAAACCGCAGATACGGCATAGGCATTTTACTTCCCCAACGGGCTGGGTGTCTGGATATGATGCAAATCATGCCCAGGACACCCGGGAGCCAGCGTGTGGCCAGGTCAGCACTGCGGCCCAGTCAGTGACACCCACCCTCTCTCCCCTTCCTCTCCCCACCACATCTCCTCACAGCTCTCAAAGGAATCAGGGCCAGCTTGGGAGAGAAGGGGGCAGGGGCCCAGGAACTGCTGAGTAGAAAGGAAAAATAAACAGAAAAAATGTGTCTGGAAAGGCAGGGTGAGAGAATGGAAGAAGCAAAGGGCAGAGGTGAAACCCTGCATCCGGGTCGAGCTCTGTCACTTACTGGCTACGTGACTAAGGGAAGTCTGAATCTCAATGTTTTCACCTATAAATGGGGGATGGTAATATCTGAAACACCCACTGTGCAGATTAAATGAGATCGTGTATATGTAAAAGCACTTTATAAACTATAAAGTACTGGCCAGCTCTAAGGTGGGACAATCGTTGTTACTTCCAGGAGCAGGGGACCTCAGCAGCGCTCTGCTAAGGAGAACTGCATGGTTTAGGGGGCATCTCATCTGACAGGTCCTTGCAGGTAAACACTCAGGTCCCCCCACACCGCTAGGATAGAGTCATCCCCAGACAAGGAAGGCACGCTCTCCCTGACATCCCACCTGTGGAAAGACGGGGGCGGGGCGTGAGGGGACAGGGGAGGTGGGAGAAGCAGCCTGACGGCCACCGATGAACCTGGATTCGGCCACAGAGAATGCAGGGCGTCTCCTTCATTCACCTCAACAAGGGCCTGGTCTCTGCCCATGCAGTTTCTAGTCACAGCATTTTAAAAAGATGTTGACTCTTTGGTTTCAGTCAGTTTGACCCCATGACCTCATCTTTCCTGGACCCTGATAACTGAGTTACGACGACTGTGGGGATTCCAGACCCTCGGCACTGGGAGGGGGCACAGGCAGAGAGGAATGCCAAGGGGATGAGAAATTCACAGCTGACTTCACCTCAATCAGGATGCCCAGGGCAACATCGACGACCTCCGCTTCATTCATGCAGTACACAGTCCCCGTGGTGGGCAGTCTGGAACCGGGACATGAGGTCAGGGATGAGGAGGAGGAAAGGGCGAGCAGGAGGCTCACGGCCTAGGCTCCCCAGGGATGAGTGCAGGACACCTCTGTCACCCAGGGACTGCGTGAGGGTCCCTGCAGGCAACAGCGAGGGGCTTCGCAACCTTCCCTCCCTCCACTCCCGAATCTGGACACCAGGACCCACGGCAGCTCCTGAGGGTCAAACTGTGAAGCACACACAATGGCCCAAGCAGATCACACAGACCATCGTGCTGAGAGGAGACCCACAGGTCCCTGAAGGCTTTACCACATTTAAATGAAGCCGTTAACTGTCCAGAAGTGGGGGTCAGTCTAAGAAAACGCAGAGAAGGAAATTCCAGAGGGGGGTGCCCTGAAGGCCAGGTGCTCGTTGAGGAGTGTGGTGCCCTGGCCCTGACCTGAGGGGGGTCCCTGCAGCAAGGACATCCTACAGTGGCCACAACCCCTCCCATCTGATGCTGGCAGCCTGAAGGCCCCAACATGACCATCACTCAACCAACACCCCAGCCTCAGCTTCTAGGTCCATGCAGGCCCGGCACCTAGCTGCCGCTCTCCTCCCTGAAGGTCTGTCCACAGTGAGAGCAGGCCTGGGGCAGAAGACCAGAGTCTCTGGGCCACTGTCCTGCCCACTTAGTGGTTCACTGTTGCTGGAAATGAACAGACTGGTGTTCTGGCACTGGCCTTGAGAGCGTGGCTAATGTGTGTGCGACCCCAAGAGGCAGAGCTGCACCTGTGTGCTGACAGGTCAGGAGCCTGATGTTGTGGAGAGCTCACCTCCCAGAGCCTATCAGTGAGGGCAGCAGTCAGCTCCTCCCCGTAGACGTCTGTCCATCTGAGCACCTGCCCGCCTCCCCGTTCCACCACTGTGGCAGTCCGGCCCTCTACCCTCCTCCACGCTCCAGTTGTTGTCCCACCTTGCTGCTGATGCCTTCACCACCGCTGTTCTCCTCCTCTTGGGGGCCTCTGCAGACACTCCTCTCTTCTCAACCTCCTGGGCTGTCATCCACGCAGGCAGGATCCTGTTTTTATTCCCAGACTGCACGGTTTCCATCTCTTCAGTCTCTCAGCAAAAAGAGTCAGGGCCGAAGCTTCATGACTTGCTTTTCCATTTCGGGCAAGCAAATCCGACTCTCTCGTCACACTAGGAATTACAGGTCTGTTTGTGCCAAATGGAATTCAATTCTTAATGCCTACAAAGAAGAACAAGTCCAGTCAACTTTAGTAAGCTAAAATACTCTCAACCATGAGTCGTAATGACTGGTCAGGTCAGGCCAGAGATGACCGATGAGCACAGGGCCAGGAGACTCACAACAGCCACAGGCAGGGCACCAAGCAAGAGGGCAAGGGAGTGGGCAGGCCGATGGCCTTGGGGAGACAAGGCATTCCCACCTGTCCTGTGCCCAGTGGTGTACATGGCAGTGACCCAACCAGGACAGCGCAACACCAAGCCATTCACCACACGAGGCGGAGGGGAGACGAGCACCCTCCCAGGAGAAAGGAGGCAGAGCTGTCACGTCCTCCTCTCCTTGCCATCCAGATGTTCACTGTCCTCAGGGTGCCCAGTCTATCCTACTCAAAAATCTCTCTGGGGTCTCCCTCTCCTCCACCTGGCTTGGTTACAAGAAAAAATCCTCAGGCCATACTGATTTACAGTAGTTTCATTGGCCGATATCCTCTCCCTTAACTCAAAGATACTTCTGACTGGTCAAACGTTAACCAGCAGTGGGGGTTAGCAATCATCACTGTCCCCTAAATGGATGAAATCCAGCTCTAATTTGGCCTCCCTGTTCCCTATCCACACTTGACCTTCCCTAGCCCTTCCGTCTAAAGCTCAGCTCCAACCCTAGGAGAAGTGGCTGGGGTTCAAAGGGGCCGGGTCTTCTCCTTTCACTCAGGAACCACAAGAAAGCCGCCTAGGGCTCCCGCCTAGGAAGGATCTTACTGTAGTGAGCTTTGCCTAGAAAACAGTAGTGTATTACTCATCCAGGATGGCCGTTTACAATATTTTTTAAAATTGGCAGGGGATCGTCATAATCTGTGACCACATTAGACAGATCTTTGCCAATCCACCTTCACTTCTGTCAAAATTCAGGCGGCGACAGTAGTCATTCCTACCACTGAATGAGCTACCGAGCGCCAGGCAAGGGTACGGTGCAAAGATGGTTAGACAGCGGCTGGCTGGGATTTGCAACCGGGTCCCACAGACCGCAGAACCAGTGCCTGCCCACCCTGTGCACGGCCCCCAAAACCTCAGCGGCGCCATCGTCGAGAAGCACACTGTCTGGAGTTCAGGACTCCCGGATGTCGAGGCCGGGGGACACCTGCGAAAATGCAACCAAAGCCCCACTATTTAGATGAAACCGAGCCCCACCAGAACGCGACGAGCCCAGAATTCCTGGTTCACACCCCGCCGCTCTTTCTTGGGGACGCTCCCTCCATGCTTGCCTACAGGAGGGGAGAGGCGAGCGATGTGGCAGAGGGAGACGAGGGTAAAACACCCGCGGGGCCTCGCCGCATCACCCACACTGCAGCTGTCCAAGGAAACACTCGGTCACTCCGACCAATTTAAGTGAGGTAACAGGCCACCTGGCCTCACGCCCCTTTCCCGGCCTTCGGGGCGGTTGTGAGGGCCCGCGCACCCGGCCCTCTGAGCCGAGTGGACCTGGCTGTTCCGCGAGGATTGCGCTCTCTACTTCCGGGCTCCGGCGCTTTCCAGGCCCGCACTTCCGGGGCCCGGCGCGTTCCCGGCTCGCACTTCCGGGGCCCGGCGCGTTCCCGGCTCGCACTTCCGGGCTCCGGTGCGTCTCTGGCTCTGCACTTTCGCTTTCCTACGCGTTCCGGGTCCCACGGTGGCCCCGGCTGCCTGACGCCCCCTGCAGGCAGCCCGGGCTCAGCGCAGGCGGGGCCCTGCAGGCGGAGGCTAGAGGGGCCGCGGCCGCGTTTGAGAATCGCGGATTGAATTTCTTTTTTAAGTGTCACCTCGGCTTCGGGGGGAGGGGAGAGGATCCCGACAGGCCCTAGATGTGGAGACCAAGTCCAACGCTCCCTGCTGGGGCGTGCACCCCGGCCGAGGTGTGTGCAAGCCGAGCCCCCCGGGTGCAGGCACCATGGACTGCCAGAAAAGGAACAAATCGGTCTTAGAAGTACAGCCAGAATGCTCCTTAGAAGCGAGGTTGGCGAGACTTCCTCTCGCGTACTTTGTGCATGTTATCATCAGGAGGGACCAGTCGCTGGAGAAGGACACCATGCTTGGTAGAGGGACAGCGAAAAAGAGGAAGACCCTCAACGAGATGGATTGATTCACTGGCTGCAACAATGGGCCCAAACATAATCAGGATTGCGAAGATGGCGCAGGACCGGGCAGTGTTTCCTTCTGTTGTGTATGAGGTCGCTATGAGTCGGAACGGACTCCACGGCACCTGACATCTTAAAAGGAGGAGCGCGGTTCAGATTCGGGCGCTTCTCCGCGTGTCTTACCCCAGCTGTCGCCGCCGAGCCTGCCCTCATGCTGGACCGCAGCTCGGTGCTGATTCAACGAGCCCTCCAGCTGACATCGCCAGCGAGGCCGGAGTCACGACAGAAAAGCAAGCAAGCAGCCACAGGGCAGCCTGCATGTGGAGGTAGAAAGATGAGCAGAACCGCCGCTGGCTGTCCCCACAGGCGAATCATCCAGATAGTCAGTGAAATGTGGGTTTGGAGCCAACTGGCTAATAAAGCAATTACGAGTCACAGGGCAACGGGGCGCAACAGCGGCGCCGGATGCGGAGTTGCAGACACCCGCGCAGGCCCAGCGCTCCTTCCCCGTGGGTGCCTGCGGTTCGCCAAAGCACCCCACCTCTTCTGAAGCCACCCCACCTCTTCTGGAGCGTGAATCCTCAGTCCCAGTGCAGTAGGCTGGCAGGGAGAGTTTCCTGCCTCGCAGCTTAAATCCAGGAGATAATAGATGGGTTCAGGTTACAATACCGCCTGCCTGGTGTAGTCAGTTAAGCTGCAGGGCAAACCCCGGCTCCGCCTTCAGCCCTTTGGGGAGGGAACCCACATGCACACCTGCTCCTCTGCTACAGGGACCCATAAGGTCCTCGGTTCTGACTGTTGTGACCAGGACAAACCCCAGCCTCCCTGGGGCTGGGGTGGAGGGCCTCATTTCCTTTTGCGAATAAATAAACAGAAGCTACTTGCTATTTGTAGAGCCAAACCCATCCATATTCCTCTCCTAAACCTCCCATTCCGACTGAAAAGTGAGGGCTGAGGAGACTGGTCTGGACACAAGGTTTTCCATTCCCTAGGAAAGAAATCCACGAGGGGTAAGAAGCCAGGATATGAGGCCAGAGCATGTGATTTGGCCGACTGGGGTCAAATCCTGAGGAGTTTGAATGCCCCGCTCAGCTGAGCGTGGTGGGTTTTGGCCTGGGGCCTTGGAAGGGAAGTGAGCAAGGGCAGACAGGCAGCTGGAGGAGTGAGGAAAACACCTTCAAGGCTCAGGACACCCAGGCCAGACCAAGGTCAGTGCAGGGGCTGCAGGGAGGGATCGTGTCTGCAGGCGTGGGGTACTGGGCCTTGCACAGGCTCCAGGGTCTTGTTTTATGGAGCCTCAGATAAGGAATCCCTGGGTGGTGCAAACGGCTAACATGCTCGGCTGCGAACCGAGAAGTTAGAGTTCACCGAGGTGCCTCAGAAGAAAAGCCTGGTGATCTACTGAAAAATCAGCCATTGAAAACCCTATGGAGCACAGTTCTACTCTGACTGTGCTCCAGAGTCATGGGGTCACCATGAGCCACAATCGACTCAATAGCAAAACTGTCTGGACAAGAAGAGAGGCTCGCTTGGGTTCCTGGGTAGATGTTGGTGAGGTCACGGTGTGGGAATTCCGAAGGAGAGAGAGGTATGAGTTTTGACGCGCTTCGAGAATGGACAGCTCATCTTGTGGTTGGACAGCTGCCATCCAGAAGACAGGCAGGGCCAAGGTGCAGGTCAGAGAGAGACAGGCCGGGCGGGGCAGCGCTGGCCACAGCACGTGAGGCTGTATCTCTCCTTTCCAAAGGTCAGATGTTGAAGGAGTTGTGTTTGTTTTGTTTTTAGGCAGTGTGAAGTGTGTGTCCACCCTCACCCTCCTGGCAGAGTCTCAGTCATCACCCAGCTTTGTCCTCAGCTCAGAATGGGGGCTTTTACAGCGGCGCCCTTTGAGTCTCTGCAACCCTTAAAGACATTCCCAGGAGCTGCGGAGACCATGCTGAGAAGAGAGAACAGGCAATAAGACAGAGACTTTGAGATGCAGAGAGGAAAAGTGAAACAAGGAATCATCTCCCACGAGTGAACCCACAGCCACTTTTTAAATGTCTTGCAGAATCCCTGAGGGGAGCGATCAGGTTGCCGTGATCACGCAGGAGGCAGGAGGAACGAGACAAGGAGACAGACTTGGTTTTCTCCACTGAGGGGAGGAGGGTCACAGAGTGGGGTGAGTGAAAAAGGGAAGGAATCGCTTATTACTGTTGTTCTCATCAAGCCACACAAACACCTCCCCTACTGCTATGGGCTGAACTGTGTTTCCCCACATTAGTACTGGAGTCCTAGCCCCTGTACCTGTGGATGGGGTCGCCATGAGTCAGGATCGACTCCATGACAACAACATTAGATGGAACGTCATCTAATGGAACATAATCATCACCTTCCATGATGCAATCTGGAGCCCTGGTGGCATAGTAGTTAACGGCTGCTAACCAAAAGGTCTACAGTTCAAATCCACCAGCTGCTCCTTAGAAACTCTATGGGGCAGTTCTACTCTGACCTATAGGGTCGCTATGAGTCGGAATCGACTCAACGGCAACAGGTTTGGTTGTTTTTTTTAATGCTGCAATCTACTGTAATGTGAGCAATCAATCAGTCGAGGTCGTATCAGCGTACAGTGGATCCTGATCACTCTGTTACAAAGAGAAGAGTCACAGATGCACGTACGAGGGAAAACAGATGCCCTGTGAGGAGCGTCTACAAGCCAAGGAATCAAGGAGTGCCCGGGGCTACCAACAAGGAGGAACTGACACAGCTGAGACCCTGAATTTGGACTTCTTGTGTCCAGAACTGTGAGAAAATAAATGTCTGTTCTGTAAAGCCACCCACTTGTTGTGTCTGTGTTCTAGCAGCGGAACCCAGCCCAGGGTCTGGCACCAATTTCCTCGTGCTTTTCCACAAGCAGGTGACTGGAGGATCCCCACCCCAGCCCAGTGCCCCGGCTGGAACCCAAGAAGGCTCTGCAATGACTGTCCAGGCAGCCTGTGGTCATGCCTCCCTCTGGTGGTGACAGGGCTGCCCCAAGTGTCAAAGCTCCAGGCCAGGCCCACCAACAACAAGGCCAGGGGCAGAGGAGCACCTCCCCCACCTCAGCTGTGACACGCAAGAGGAAGAGGGGGCAGTTCCTTCATTCCTCTCACCTGGGGGAGGCGCATCCTGGCCAGGGGCAGCGGTGTAGGTGCAGCTGCACAGGGCAGGGTGGCCTGAGCCCAAGGCCCAGCTCCTGGACAGCCTTCTTGGTTCCTCTCCATTGACCAGCAAAGGGCCCAGGCAGCTGGCTCCGTCCAACCTCCAGGACATTAGGTGGAGAGAAGAATGAGAGGGAAACCACAGTCCCAGGTAGGGGGCAGCCAGGAGCAGAAGCTTCGGCCCCGCCGTTGCCCAGAGAAGCTTCTGTAACAAATGCTGCTGACTCTCAGGAAAGAGAAGGAAAACTCCAGCCTTCGCTTGAATCCACAGAAACAGGAACGGAAAAAGCCGTAGCACCCAGTGGAACGGAAGCGAGAACCCTGGGTGTGTCCACATCCTACCCCACAAAGCAGGAGGCAAGAGGGGTGGGAGCTGGGGGTACCCGGGCAGGGGTCCACACTGGGTTCCCAGCTGACCATCACCAGGCCAGAGGTGGAGGGAGACGCTCTGCCACGCACACTTCCTAGAGAGAGACACTGGGTCACCACGAGGGCATCATCTTTTTTTAAAAAAAGAAGAAAAATGAGCAAATATATACAAAATACTGTCATCTCTCCTGGGCCCCTGGGGCAGATGTGGCCGTGTTTCTTCCATCTTCCTGAGCTTTCACAGGAAAGCATCCCCCCGTCGGAGCACGCCTCTGGCAGAGCCAGGAAGTCGCTCTCTGGGGAGCACGTGCCCCTGGCCACCTGCTCCTTGAGGCTGCCCGTTTCTGCCCCTCACTGGGCAGCCTGTCCCTGCAGAGGCCCCACAGAGCCAGGAACCTCGAGTGGAGTGGTCTACCTCTCCCTGTCTTGTCTCTCCCCGGCCCAGGTAACATTGCTTCCACAGGTGCCCCGGCCCAGGTAACACTGCTTCCACGGGTGCCCCAGCCCAGGTAACACTGCTTCCACGGGTATTCCGGCCCAGGTAACACTGCTTCCATGGGTGCCCCGGCCCAGGTAACACTGCTTCCACGGGTGCCCACAGGCAGCCCCGTCAGAGTTTATGGGCCAATAAGGTGGTCAGCTTGATCTTGCCATCCATGGAGGCCGTGAGGCAGGTCCCACAGTCCATGGCCGTGCTCCAGTCCACAGTGACCACAGGGGCTCGGTGGCCACCCAGGCTCAGGCAGCTCTCCAGAACCTTCTCCTCCCCGCCCAGCTGCAAGAGAGACAAGGAGGTGTCAGCACACATCACTTACAAACACATTCACCAGATCCACTTGGGGGCCCACCCGCCTGGCCTGGGGCTGCCAACCAATCCTAGGGCGTGCCCAGATGCACGCACCCACCTTTCCAGACAGTCTATGTGCCCAGGTGCACACGCCCAGGTGCACATACTCACCTTCCAGACAGTCTATGGAGGCAGGTGCACGCGCCCATCTTTCCAGACAGGCTAACTTAACTTCTTGGACCAGGAAATGCTTTCGCTTTCCCAACTACCATTAGTCCTTCATCTTAAGTGGAAAACAAGCCCCGGTAAGCTCCTAAATAAAGCTCCTTAAAATATGTAGAATGGTCTCTTCCGCTTTTAACTTGCAGTGAGTCAGTGCCCCCTGCACCCATCCCAGGGTTCTTTCCAACCTGACTTTCTATCACATCAGGTTGCTTCTCCCAGAATGCGGGCACCAGAGGGCAGGGTCTCGGCCCATTCTCTCCTGCAGCCCCCAGAACAGGGCCTGGCTGGAGGGCCCCTCAGTTAATCTGCACATGTGGGCTCTCCTCCATCCTACCATCCGAGCTAGCGGGAACCACATGCATTGTAGGAAGAAACAAACTAAGGGAAGGGAGGGAAACCAGTGGGCCCCCTGAATAACATCAATACGAATCCATATCTGTAGGGAACACAACATGCTTAGCCGGTTCAGGAAAGCTGATGGATGCATCCAGATACTACATGGAGAAAACGCTTTTTAAATCATATATAAAATTGTTTATGCTCATGGATTGGTAGACTCAACACAGTGAAAATGACAATTCTACCCAAAGCAATTTACAAATACAACGCAATCCCAATCCAAATACCAACAACATTTCTTTAAAGAGATGGAAAAACCAATCATTAACTTTATATGGAAAGGGAAGAAGCCCCAGATAAGTAAAGCTCTACTGAAGAAGAAGAATAAAGTTAGAGGACTCACACTACCTGACCTCAGAACCTACTGTACAGCATAGTAGTCAGAACAGCCTGGTACTGGTATAATGACAGATCCACTGACCAACGGAACAGAATTGAGAACCCAGATGTAAATTCATCCACCTACGGTCACCTGATCTTCGACAAGGGCCCAAAGTCCCTCAGACGGGGAAAAGACAGTCTTTTTAACAAATGGTGCTGGCAAAATTGAATGTCCATCTGCAAAAAAATGAAACAGGACCCATACCTCACACCATATACAAAAACTAATTCAAAATGGATCAAAGACCTAAATATAAAGCCAAAAACTATAAAGTTCATAGAAGAAAAAATAGAATCAATGCTAGAGACCCTAATGCACAGCATTAACAGGATATAAACCATAGCCAACAACACACAAACCCCAGAAGATAAGCTAGATTACTGGGATCTTCTAAAAATTAAACACTTAGGCTCATCAAAAGACTTCACCAAAAGAGCAAAAAGAGAACCTACAGACTGGGAAAAAAATTTTGGACATTACAACTCAAAGGTCTAATCTCTAAAATCTACAAGAAAATCCAACCTCTACAACAAAAAGACAAATAATCCAGTGAAAAAATAGGCAAAGGAAATGAACAGACACTTCACCAAAGAAGTCATTCAAGCAGCCAACAGACACATAAGGATGCTTGCGATCACTAGCCATTAGAGAAATGCAAATTAAAACCACAATGAGATACATCTCACCCCCAGCATTACTGGCAGGAATCAAAAACACTGGAAGTAACAAATGTTGGAGAGGCTACGGAGAGATCGGAACTCTTACGCACTGCTGGTGGAAATGCAAAATGATGCAACCATTTTGGAAAATGATATGGCGCTTCCTTAGAAAGCTAGAAATAGAAATACCATACGATTCAGCAATTCTACTCCTAGGAATATATCCTAGAGAAATATAAGAGCCGTCACATGAATAGACGTATGCACACCCATGTTCACTGCAGCACTATTCACAATAGCAAAAAGATGGAAACAACCTAGATGCCCATCAACAGATGAATGGATAAACAAACTATGCTACATACACACAATGGAGTATTATGCAAAGATAAAGAACAATGATGAATCTGTGAAGCATCTCATAACATGGATCAAGCATCTCATAACATGGATCAAACTGGAGGACATTATGCTAAGTGAAATAAGTCAGTCACAAAAAGACAAATATTGTATGAGACCTCTACTGTAAAAACTCATGTAAAACTTTACACACAAAAAGAAACAATCTTTGTTGGTTACCAGGGGATGGGAGGGGTGGGGGTAGGGAGAAACTAAATAGATAATACATAAGTGCTAACTTTGGTGAAGGGTAAGACATTATACAATACTGGGGAAGCCAGCACAACTTGTACAAGGAAAGGTCATGGAAGCTCCATAGACACATCCAAACTCCCTGAGGGACTAAATTGCTGGGTGGAGGGCTGTGGGGACGATGGTCTCGGGGAACATCTAGCTCAACTGGCATAACACAGTTTATAAAGACAATGTTCTACATTCTACCTTGGTGAGCAGCGTCTGGGGTCTTGAAAGCCTGTGAGCAGCCATCTAAGATACTCCACTGGTCTCACCCCTTCGGGAGCAAGGGAGAATGAAGAGAACAGGATACAAGGAAAAGATTAGTCCA